CTCCCAAGAGGCTGGTGGGAGTGTCACACAGGCCTCCAGACCCCCATTCTGTAGCTCTTAGGACCCCCACCAAGGGGTGAGCAGCCTCTCCCCTATTCCATCTAAAGAATTAAATATATCTAAGATTCCCTTGCTATCCTTGAGTAATTAAACTGTTCACTATCACTTTACAAGTGCCCTAACGTGCTTATTCCCATTTGACCCCCAACCTAGTCAAGCTCCTTTCAGGACTTCGATGCTCCAGCCATGCTTCTCTAGCTAGACTCCTTGTAACCAACAACCTGGCATCCTGAACACCCACTGTAGTGCAGGTCAACCTGTGTCTCTGGGGTTAAGTTCTAAAGTCTGCCTCTAGGGCAAAAGCCTAGTAAAAAAAAAAAAAAAAAAGAAAAAAAAAAAGAAAAAGAAATCATTCACGAAAATCCCTGAGCTGGGACATGGGCCCTTAAACTCAACCAGCAAGAACTCTTGTGTGACTTCGCATTACAGCTATAGCCTCCATTTCCCTCGGCACAGCGGGTCACCAAGGCCTGAGCAGGGAAGGGCAAAGGGTTAAATAAAGGGACTTCTCCCTCTCTTTACCCTCAGCAGAAGAGTTGATTTTGCAAGTTAAATTGAGTGTATGATACGACTTCATGGTACTTGCAAGGCACAGGCTAGGTGCTATCAGGCAAAGAAATGAAATAAGATCCCTGCCCTCACATAAGCTGTAATCCAGATGGGAGAGAGGAGACCATCCCTGAAGATGAAGGACAATAGTCAAACATCATAACTGTCAGTTACATTGCTATCAATAGTCACAGGAAGAAGTTGCTGTGGGGTAGGACAGGTTCTTGAGATTTGATTAGATTCTTTCTTTAGATGGGCCGACTCAGCACTCACCAGTGTTTCAGGCACAACTGGCCTATCATCCAAGCATATGATGGTATTTTGTTTCGTCTCCAGTGTCCCTCTTAGAAATACCACAGAATTCACTGGCCATGTAAGATGTTAGGTCAAGGTCCTTGGGGAATCTTGTACCACAGTTTCAATACTCCGATTATAAAAAACAAATTAAATCTCAACATAGTGTTAGGCTTAAACAGTCTATACTCTAGATGAACTGCTTCATTGTAATAGAGAATCTTATTCTATGACCCTTGAACCTGACTTTCCCAGCAAATTATTCATACCACACAAATACTTTGACCCTTTCTTCCAAACCTGTCATTACCTGGATGGTCTCACACCAGTCTGTTAAAATTAAACCCACCTATTTCTGCTTGTTTGCAGATTCTTAAGACTTCCTCCAAGTCTTCTTGCCCATTTTGGATTTTTCTCTGCTCTCAGGACTCAAGGTGACCCAGCAACACCTGAAAGATGGCCCTGTGCCACATGGCACTCTTGAAGAATGAATGAATGCAAGGAAGCAAGTGCTTAGGTACACATCCTGGACACAGTCTGATCCCTGGCTAGCAAGTCGCACTCCAGTGCACTTTTTCAGAAGTAAGGTCCTAAAACTTGATCCATGGCCAGTTGGAATAAGGGTCAATAGGAAGAGAGTCCAGGCACCAACATTTAAATAGACAACCCTGACCCATATGGGAAGCAGTTTAATAAATCAACACAATATAGTACATTTCCAAAACTCAAAAGCTTGCCAACTTCTCCAGGTCTAAAGGATATTTCTGATTTTTCCTTTTAGAGAGGGCATGAGCATGAGTCAGAAATACCAACTTCAAATCCAGATCCGTTAAGATTCTGTGTAAACAGCTGTGAGACTTTGGAAACATCTTCACAACTTGCAACTTCTAGTTTTTTCATCTGTAAAGGGAGTCAGACTAGATAATATTTAGTTAAGAAAACATGATTTAAATGCTAGGACATTGCAGGTCTGAGTAAATCTAAGAACATCATGGAGTCATAAAAATAGTGATGGTGGGCCTGGAAAGCTTCTAGAACATAGTGATCAGAGAGAAGAAAGTGAGACTTAGGAGCCATTCAAAAAATCACTGACACTTCATTCTCCTTCTAGGTCCTGCCCTATGGTCATACAGACCCATCTCTCCAGAAGGGCTGGGGAATGATTCATAGGATGCATACACCCACAGTCCTCACCTCCACATACCTTCCACCTTTCTGGATGACTCAACTTTAACTACCTAAGAGAAATTAGAGTCCAAAGCACTCAGACCTTGACCTCAGTCACTTCAGATGACCAGCTAATAATCATCTTTCGGAATCTGAAACTTCTGGAGGAAGTTTTACACCATTCCCTTAAGTCCGATGACTCCCAGAGCTTTAAGAACATCCAATGTGTTTAAGGGCTTTAAGACACAGTATTATTCTGTCATAGAATCTTAACTAGTGTTAAAGATATTACTAAATATTTAGGTGGCATTGTAGAAAATTTAAACCATGAAAATCTATAATGGGTTTTCTATAACAGAATATTTATCTAATATTCCCACACATATGTGATATTTTACTTCTATCTCAAAGTCATTTGTTCATTAAATTTACTTTTGTTATGAGTCTAATTACAATTCATTGATGTAACTGATTTAAGTTTCATAAATGTGATTGAGAATTTAAGATAGGAATCAACCAGACCAACAACCACCTTTGGCTTTACTATTTGGCAGTAATATAGTCACAGAATATCAGAATACCTATGCAATACCTGACACACAGTAACTAAGAACACAGATACTGCTTTTAAATTTATCATTAACACCTACCATTTGGTCAGCAAGTATCCTTGCTGAGGAGGCACTGAGTACTCTGCATGTCCCTTTAATCCTCTCAACAACCCTATTAAACAGTGTATCTCCTTTATTATATCTTTATTTTATAGATAAAGAAACTAAAGTTCAAAGTAAATGAACATTTACTAAATGGCCAAGAAGGGACACTCTCCACCAGTTTCCTGAAATATTCCTATTCATCTTTTCCACGGAGTTTAGGAAACCTGACCAGTTGTTTTAATCTCACTGGCTCTATTATCCACATCCTTGTTACTAGGGACAAGGGATGTGATACGGGATGCATATGCTGGTTCTCCTGGGAGGACCACTGCTACTCCTGAAGCTGGAGTACTCTAGGAAAGTGTGGGGCAACACCAGTCACAAACCACTGTCACCTAACAGTGTGGTTACTGCCTCTGGGCTCCAGAGAAAGACACAGTCCCCTTAAGGTGGCCCTTTTCCCATCTGATGGTCTGACCAGCTACTCCCCTCAGTAAGCCCTAAAGAAAAGCATTTCTATTAGAAGGCCTCAAGCCCAGTCACAAGCTTCTTACCCTGGGGAAGGCCTGCAGCAGGTCTAATACCAGAGAAGCCCAGCAGGAGTGACAAGTTAGAGCAGGCATGTTGCTCACCTTCATGACAAGAGATTCCTGGCTAAAGGCACACTGTGCAAATCTCCATCCCAAGGACAACTCTTGCCCCAGTGCTTCCCCTTCACATGTGCTTGGACAAGTACGCCCAAAAAGCCAGAATGCCAAGGGGAACGCATTCCCTCTGCTGGCCCACAGACACTTGTGCACTAACAAGTTCAAATCATGTGGGTGAAAACACAGCTACACACAGTATTCTAAGACACTAAATGTCATCCATTAACTGAATTAGCAGAAACCACCTTTCATTTCAGATTTACAGCTTAACAATTTCTTCTATGAGAAAGCAGAGTATAAGCAGCTGGCCAGGCCTGCAAACTCAGACCACCTGGCTGCAGACGCCCCTCCCTCAGCTAGTGTCTCTGCTTCACCTAGCAGGTGCTGTCAGAAAAAAAAAAAAAAATGACTTTTAGATGCGGATGTACACAACGTTCCAAATTCCAACGATATTAACCAATGAAATCAATGTTCCCACCAGCTCCAAAGTCCCAAAAGAGGGACAGTAAAATATCCTTCATGCTGTGGCTGCACTTTGCTTTCTCCGGTCTGTTGGTCCTGGAAGGACCTGGGTTCAACTAAAGGCCTGGGTGGGGAGGGGGTCCTTTTGTTGTTAGAGTCTGTTTTTCCGTAGCACGGATCAAGAATGCAGCCCCACAGCGATTAAGGAGGCTTAGCTCCAGAATACCCTCTTGGGTCTAAAGAGATCATGTGGGAACCAAATAGTTTTTAAAAGAAAGGGAGAGGCAAAGAGCACCCGTCTCCACTTTCTCCTCTGAAGAGCACAGCCCTGGTGGGGGGTTGTCACTTCCGAACCTTGTTTGCTAAGTCTCAGCTCAAGATCAGACATTTTGCTTTTAGCCCCTTGGCTGAGCCTGCCCAGTGCAGGGGAGCAGCGGCCGAACAATTGATTAGGGGACCAGGCGGGGGCTAGGCACACCACTCAGAGAAACTTACTTTCTTAACTTATCTAGTTCTGTGAACAGGTGCTTGGTTAATTCCACCTTCCAAAAGGGGGTGGGGAGCGAGTAAAAGTATCCCCTCTAGGAGCGTACGCCCTGAGGGTAAAGTCACCCAAGACACTAAGGAAAGTGTCTTCCCAACTTCCGCGGAGCGCGCGAGTTCGCCCGGGGACCTGGTGTCCTGTGAGTTTGGGAAAGGCCTGGAACGTCGCTCCAGCAGCCCCGAGGCAGCGATGCTAGGACCCTGCCTCCCACCCCCTTCACCAAACACACAACACGTGAAGCTCAGAAAGCGTGCCACCTGCTGGGGTTCCAACAAACAGGCCCGGAGGGAAGAACCGGCAGAAAGTACTAAGTTTTCTTTTTTAAAAGTAAACTCTCCCGGGGCCCCGGGTGTCGTCAGCCGAGGTCCGACCTCAGGTTCTCCTCCTCCGAGGGCTGCACAGGGGAGGCACCAGCGCGAGGTGCGCAGCGGGGCGTGAGGGCGGTGGGCGCGGCTTACTCGCGACCCCCGGACCCGCTGAACCGTGGGGCCTGAGGAGTCCCGGGAAGGGTAGGGGTAGAGCCGGCCGGCGGGCTGCCGACAGGCGGGAACAGGGCGCGCCCTCGCCCCTCCTCGCGCGGGCCCGCGCCCCGGTGGGGGTGGGAAGAGTCGGGGAACTCACAGCCGCTTGTCCTCTGGCTGTAGCTGCCAGTGCATGGCCAACGAGAAGCCGAAGAGGCTCCCGCGATCCCCAGATTTCCGGATCACATTGTCCTCGCGGGTGTCCAAGTTGAAGGCTGCGCCGAGCCGGGGCAGGAGCCCCGCCGACAGGTAGAGCAGGCACAGCTGCCCGGCGGCCGCCATGGGCGGGCGCACGGAGAGGGGAGCAGGGACCTGCTGCGGCCGCCGTGCGCTCCGGGCCGGGTCTGAGGCTGCCTGCCGTGCTGCAGCGGCCACGGCCACCTTCGCCTCCTCTCGCCACTTCGCCCGGCCCCACCCCCGGGCCGGGTCGCGCTCTATGTCCTGCCGCTCCCCCTCACCGGCAGCTCCGGGACCGCTGAATGAGCTCCTTGTTCTCTGGAGACTAGCAAGCGTTTTATCAAGTGACGAGGACGCCGGCCCCGCCCCTCCCCACCCCGCTGGCCCCTCCTCGCGCTCCCTGGGCCGGGCCAAGCCGCCGGCACCTTCCCGACCGCCCCGGCTGTAGAGCGCCAGGCTCCTCGCCCTCTCCCGCCGCCCTTCACCTGCCCGGAAGCAGCGATGCGGGAGACTTGGAGGGAGCTCCGGGCCGAGACGCCCATCCGGCCGCCCCCTCTGGAGAGAAGCTCTTGAGTTGTGGTTGTGCGGTGCAGGGCTGAGCGAGAAGGATGTTACTACCTGTCAGTAAAGATAAGTGCAGGCGGTGCGCCGGCCTCTTTGCCCTAAGCAGCCTGTTATTGAAGCTGTGGGCCCACGTGCAAATGCACACTACAGTCATTCATTCTCTAAGGGCTCACGGAGTGTTTAACGTGTCCTAACACTTGAAGACTGGAGCTGCATACTTTTTGGCTCTTGGAATACCTAACCGTCAAAAATGATGATAGTACACACACTGTGATAGTGCTATACAATTTACAAAGCACAGCCCTTACCTCATTTAATCCTAACAATCCTATTACGTGGTCATTTTCTTTTTGCAAATGAGAAAACCGAAGTTTAGCTTTGCCCAGATCACCCAAGGATCTAGAAGTCACCCTGAAGTCAAAAATTTCAAACTTGGTTTCCAAGTGTTCTGATGCTCGGAAGAAACCCCTCACCCATAAAGGATGAGTGTTTCAAAGTGGCCCTTAGTAGCTCAGGCCTTGCCCCCTCTCGATAGCCCTAAATTCCTGGTCTACTTAGGGGAAAAACTTCCTGACCAAGAGGCAGTTAGTTCTGAGGTCAATGTGGGTGGCCTGAAGGCCCCTGCCTCCAGGGCATAGGGTGTAGCCTCTCTGGGGGACTTAATTCATCAATGATTCAAAACCAGGGGAGAGAGAATTTAATTCAGGTGTATTCTGAACTTGGATGAGAAAAAAAAATTTACTTTTAAATTTTTCACCAACATCTGAGATTTAGCATTTCCTTCCATTAGGAATGTAGGCAACAAACCACCGTGGTAGAAGAATAAGTATCAATAACCTAGTCACCGGTAGAAACTAAGTTTTTTACTTGACATTACAGTTGTTACAAGTATTAAAATAGTTATTAGAACCCTCAGATCTTTCTTGTACGTCAAAAAAGAAGTTTACATATTGCTATAGCACAATTTTTAAAAACATTTTGCTAACTGTATTACAATATGATTGGTTTCCTTTGTGAATCCATGTATTTTATTTTGTGTCTGAAACCTTCCAAGAGAGGTCCATTGTTAATAGCAACCTTCCAAAAGGGCCTGTGACATGAAAAGGTTGAGAAGTGCTGATGTGAAGGCTCTTGGAATGTCCTCATTGGAACCTAACATTCTTGCATTGGAAACAGAAAGCAGGGCACAGTCCCAGGGGAAGAGCTAGAGCTGTGTGCAGTCTTCCTCACCTCAAGAATGTGGACCAAGGAACAGCCTGAATCACTCAGAAAAACTGTGTGAACACCATCAAGGGTCCCCACAGGTGGTAGCAGCTGCTAGAGTGAGTCCCTCAGTAAATGTGTACGCCTTCCTTGCCAATCAGTAACTCCAGGCAAATATAGTCCAAAGTGGGATATGGTGGCTTTAAATCCAGTGGATTATCTTGGAAATCACACTGTTTTAACAAATGCTGATAAGGTTGAGAAACTACTAGAAATGATCATCTAGTAAATTAGGGAATATCTGCAGTATAATTTTTCATGTTAGTTGCAGGTTAGCCTTTCTTCTTCATGATAAACATGCTATTGCAGAGAGAGGGTCTATGCTATTATGGTTGAGTATAGTGAACCTCACAGCAGGGTGTTACTCAGTCTGAAACCAGCAACATGGCTGCAGTGGTAACTGAAATAGATCTGATCTGGTTGATAGAAAGCTGTTGCCTTTAGCTCCTCAAGTGCAATAGCTCCTACCCTGCTCACTTTCCTAGGACTCACTTTCCTAGGACTCAACCCTTAAGGGCTCCTTCTGATTGTGTATACCCATGTCATATCAGCAGTTAACTACTCTAAAAATTATCCCTATCTTCTAAGAGTAATTCTGTGAAGTATTCATCACTTCCTTCCTAAGATGTATTTGATAAATGATGTATGAATGGCCAGAGTTATCTACTTGATTTCAAACACTGATTCTGCTCAAATTGAAATTCTAACATTAAATTTAAATATCATAAACATTTAGTGCTACTGAATCAAATGATGCTAGGCAGAAAGTATGCCTATGGGCCATCACACGTGAAAACCTTAGCAGCCATAGGCCTACGCTCTAAGGATCTCCTGCCCAAGATTGCCATACATACCTGAAGGTGAGTCAAACTCTCAGACTCCTAATGTAATCTTTTTGAAGATAGTCATCTCTTCCTATCGCAATCAAGTTTTGTGACTCAGTTGTTATTTCCATGACAAAGCTGACTTGGGTATTTTACAAAAGTGTATTATAAAAGAGATATTTAGAAGTTGTTCAGGATCCACCAAGGATGTGTCAGTCTCTGGGGCCAGAAATGGAGGAATTGAAATCCCTAAAAATTTTGAGGTTAAAAACCTGGGCAGGGAGATACAAGTTTTAAAGGAAAAAAGAAAGCTGAAACTCAAAGATACTTGTCTGTAACCAAAGGGAGAAAGATAGCTGGATGAAGAAGGCGTGCTAGCCATATAGGACATGGAGTGGTGTGTGTGTGTGTGTACACACATGCATACATGGCTATAGAAAACAAGATGTGGTTTGGTGAGGTAGTGGTGCATTCCTATAATCTCTGCGGCCCTAGAAGCTGAAGCAGGAGGATCGAAAGTTCAAAGTCAGCCTTGGCAATTTAATGAGGCCCTAAGTAACTAAGCAAGACCCTGTCTCAAAATAAAAAATCAAAAGGGCTGAGGATGTGGCTCAGTATTAAGCAACCTTGAGTTCAATCTCCAGTACTGGGGGGAAAAGAAGAAAAGAAGATGTGCCCATTGCAAGAAAGTGCCACAAAAATCCAGTTAACTGACAAAAATGTCTTTTTAATAAAAAGTAATTATAAAACCAAAGGAATCTAAATATACAGTTATACAATCACAGGAAAAAAACTTTTTTTTTTTTTTTTTTTTTTTTAAAAGGCAGTGAAAGCTAGGGATGTGGCTCAGTGGTAGAGCACTTACCTAGCACACTGGAGGCTCTGGGTTGGAGCCCCAGCACAAGTTGCGGGAGGTGCATAAAAAGCAGTAAAAGCTATGAATTGAGGCATTTGCTCAGATGAAAGCTTTGGAATTCTTGTTTTGCCAGTATACTTTTTGAAAGAAAATTATCTTCTATATTTTACCTTCAGTAGGGAAACTTGCAAATAATTTTAAAATATTGGTCATTCTTGGAGAAGGCTGACAAATCCATGTCATACCTGATATAGTTTCCATTTTGTTTTGCTCTCAGGTTCACTGTTATTTGGACTTCATCATCATCAATAGCAGAGCATATCATATTTGTTGCTTTTAGGCAACATAGAAAGATGTACTGAGTTTCTATGAAACATCTCTTATTCTCCCACAGTTATATTATACAGTTTTACATATCCCTGGAGCCTTTCAGTGAGAGGCCACATGTCAGTAAATAGTTTCACATAGGGTTTTACATATCAATGACAGATTTTTTTGTTTGTTTCAGAGTTTTCCCACATTGCTCTTTTATTTGCCCCTTAAATAAGTGTTCAGGAGTTTCTCTTCTACACTGAACCTTAATGCTTTTATTTTAAAAAAAAAAAAAGAAAGAAAAGGTGACATTTATGTGCTCTAAGTAACAGCACATTTTATAGGGGGCAAACCTTCCTTTGGTTTGTATCAGGAGAAACCAAACTACCAGCTGTCCCTTATTTTAACACCCAGATCTATTTTAAAGTAAATTGCATTTGAATGTTTCTAATTCACTCACAATGAGCTCATTAAAATGTAGAGTGTTTCACCTCGCCATTTTAGGTGGGATTCTTTTTTCCAGTTTGTTTTGAGGGAATTTTGCTAAGCCAGGAAGCCACATTTGGCCAGCCAGAAATAAATTCAAACCTTAAATCCATCAAGTTAAATTTAAAATTGGGCTCCCAAGGATGGGGTAAAATCTCCACCTGGCAAATTTGGTTTTCCATCCCAGCCATCATTAGAAACAAATATGAAGATTGTTTATATGTATCATGTACCACCCAGAATGTACTCTTGAAAGGCCAAACATGTAGTCTACATTTTTAAAGTAAATTATTTAAGGAAAACATTTAGTTGCTTTCTATTTAAAAAAAAAAAGTTCTTCTATAAAAACTAAAAGACAAGCTGATTTTGAATTAAGTCTTAAACCAGTGTATATCAGTTCAGGTCAAGGCAAGCACTGGAGGAGAGTAGCTTAGCTCATCCACTTGCCAGCTGAGGACCAGAGCAAGTTACCCTACTTCTTTAGGACTCAGTGTTCTAGTCTGTTAAATGGCCAGAATCCTTACCTCACCAGGTTGTGAGAGGATTCAATGAGATGATGTGTGTGAGGTCTGTAGCACAGTATCTACTATTAAATATGTGCTAAATGAAATAGCAGCCGTGAAAAAAAGAGTAAAGCACATACTAGAAAATGAAACAAGACAGCTTCAGGTAATGGGAATTAAACATAGGAAGAGAGAATATGTGAGTCACTTGTGCCCTGCATTCACTTGGTCTAAATGGTCAGGATAAACCATTCCTCTGGTTATATCTTGGCAAATAGTTCCTGTTGAGTCACAGTTTCTCAGCCCCTGAGGTTTGGGTAGCAGCACCTTCGTGTTTCACTCAGGTTCTGAACATCTTCTCTCTCTTGCCAGTGTTTTGAGAAGCAGCCAGGAATCCCCACTCAGTCTCATAACTTCAGAAGAGACAGTTTAGAGGGCAGCCAGCTAGGAGGCCTGGTGGGAGAAAGAGTTGAAAACAGAGAGGGACATTTCCA